CCCTACCAGAAGAGTTCCTGCCATTGACCTCTTGAGACGGCCTCTTGTCGTAAGAGTCTGAGTATAACGGGTCTCATCTTCGGCCAAATGTCTTCGAACTGAAGCGAACCCTTTTCCTGAAGACGTCGACATCGATGACAATACGCCAGACATTAACACATCAATTGAATGGTTAGTGACAGACATCAACACCTAATCACATGATGGCTCATACCTTAAACATGGATGAGTTGTTGGACATACTTATCGGTCAATACAACGCCTATGAAGTAGTTATCACTGTTAAGACACCACCGAAACCACAGATCACTTGTTAAATGTCTTTAGCTATCGATTGAATGCGAAGATCACTGGCGAGTGAGACATAAACTCACGATTAGATCAATAAAATGACTGATTTTTAAGACAAAAATATCGGCAAACTATTGGTGTGAATACCAAACATATATTCAACACAATTGTGGTCTTAATTGACAGTTAATTACAGACTAAATGTAAATCACTTTGAATTGAATTGCGTTCACAAACAGACTGTAAATGTATTGTCTGTTTGTCTGTTAGGCGAACACTTTCGGAGTCACTGTCTATTGTGTGAACACATGTGTGGCGGCCATCGATAGCCCTTCACTCCCCTTTACTTTGATCATAGCGTCAATGATAGGAATACGTTATTTGTGAACAGTTATGCTAAGCCGCTGTATGGTTGCCACAGATTTGTCTCCTGCGTACAGACAGGCATTCAATGCGATTTCAATGTCAAACATCAAACACTCAAATACAACGTTACGATAAAATGCACGGAAAGAGTGAGATTCAAAAAATAACTTTAACTTTGAGTTCCATAGCGGGGGTTGAAAAGGGGTTCAAAATATAGCGGTTTTAGGGCATGTAATGCATGAATAGTATGAATGAGTGAAAGCAATACAAAGTGTTTTGATTTTGAAAAAATTCAAATCAAAACAAAAATTAAACCAAAAATACAATTGAAATAAACGTCACGTTTGTTTGGCAACCGTTTAACCGTCGCTGAGATAATCAAATTGATCCCAAATCGGTTGTCAACGCGTGCATCCATTGTGTCTCTACTGTATCGATGCGATTGGCAAACACCTGAAGAAGTGGTGGATATGATGGACAGCGACGGCAGCGGTGGTCAGAGGGTTGAGAAGTCGCTGTCGTATACCATACACGCGGTGTCCAGTTATGCGCAGAGCTATCACCCGAAGTATGTCTGAGTGTCACGAATCTGATCCACTCTTATGTGACAATTATCTCTCTTTATAGCCGTATATTAGAAGACAATCCGAACGACCCGTCGTCGCGATGGTGCTCAGAGTCAGCGGTTCCGCCACAGGTCTGTCCACTCACTCACGAGTAGATTAGTAGATGTAATGGTAGTGATAGTCAATAATAAGTTCATTGAGAGTTATGTGTCTATAATTACCGGTGATGTCTGTATTAATAGTTGAAATGTCTGTAAAATTTAAATAATGTTAGTGTTAACAGTACTCATGAGTGCATGAATGTTAGCCATTATCTTAATATCAGAGATAATCTCTGTGTTGGACTAATGCAAGTGATAACTCTAAGATTCAGAATAATTTTGTGTGATTATAACAACTGAGGTTTGTGTCAATGACACGAGTTATCTGTTTATTTAAATTGACATATTGTGGCAGTACTGCCACTTCACTCATGAGTAGACTATTAGATTAATTTCAATGATAATCACCGGTAATACGAATACTAAGACCAAATCTAGTGATAACAACCGCTGATATCCCTAATTATCTGTTGAAATGGTATTCACTTATTGAATACTTTGATAGTTCCTGACACTGAAGCTGAAGCGGACGGCTATAGTGACGGAAATCCTGTTCGGAAAGCACCGGAAGTCTCACGTCTGTAACGTCAAGAGAGTCAAAGTGTTTGGCGGTATGTCTGAGGAGTCGATGATAGAGCTGATGGACGACATACTGACCAACGATAGCACTGCCGAGTCGTTCCCACTGAAGCACCGCATCCACAACAATGACTTCCCCTGTCGTTACGTTAAGATACAACCCCTTCAGGGCTGGAGTTGGCCTACAAAAGAGGGTCGCAATCGGAACGGCACTCACTATAACTTCACGCTATGGTATGTCTGTTGTGGTCAGGCATGTGGACTGGGAGTCAAATATTAGGAATTATTTTATTTTTAATTATATTTTAAAGTAATAATAGAAAGTATTTAAGGGAACAGCTATTTAATTGTCTGTATGCGCGGCACAGGTATGTGGAGCTCCGGGGTATCGACGACTGCACACTAGTCAAGGATTGCCTACAATGGCTAACAGAGTACAGGCAACGGGAGGCCATACGGCTCTGTCTGAAGCATTTGCGCCAAAAGAACTGTTCGGAAGCGTTCGAGTCGTTGCAGAAGCGGACGAGGATTCAGTTGGAGGACCGGCTGCTCACGAGACTCCATGAGCTGCTGGTCATTGAAGGGGCGTTCGACCCGTGCGAGCGCCTACTGGAGGAGGCGTGCGATCGCCGACTATTCGACACGTATATCAGGCGACAGGACTACCGGCCCATATGGAAGCAGTTAATGCCGGCGCCAGGCCCTAGTGGGAGGCCCGGTAGGCAACCAGGTATGCGGGGCGGCCATCAAATGTGTATAGACCCGTACGGACAAGTGATTTATCTGTTCGGCGGTTGGGATGGAAGTCAAGATTTGGCCGATTTGTGGTCCTATAGTATTACTGAGCGCGAGTGGACCTGTATTTCGGTGAATACCGGACTGGAAGGCGGACCCACAGCCCGTTCCTGTCATAAGATGTGTTTGGATCCGATCCGCAAAAGGATATACACGTTGGGCCGGTATCTCGACTCCAGTATCCGATCTGTAGATAACTTAAAGGTNCCAACCTGACCACCAGTGTAAAATGTTCCCCTTGACCTCACCTAACCTTACCTATCCTTACAATGGTCAAAAGTCTATTGGTCATTAAGTTATTTAAGTTTAGGTCAATTTGCCAGTTCCCGAGTATGTCATCTCTCGTTAATAAAGATTGTATTAATGATTGCATAATATGTGGCGAATGTCTAGTAATCCAATTCGAGAGCCGCTAATGAAGGCAATGGAATCGTTCGCCAAATACGGACCGCAGAAGGTATCCAAATGTTGCAGCACTTGCTTCTGCGGGATCTTCTGCGGGATCACATAAGACAACGAAACGAATTAGCCGTCTCTTCCCGGGAAGATGTCGAGTCACTCTCCATATTCAAGTGACGCTCGGTTCGCGAGAGACCCTCGTCCTCGTTATTCAGTTCTACACGTCAAGTCAAATACAGTATTCCTCTTCTATGTATTCTTCACAATATTCTGTCAGACCAATTCACACCAAGAGTTGGTCACTTTAATCATATCACATACTGTGCAGTATTATCAAAATTATTCATTCAGTGCCAGTTATGCAAGGTTTCCGTTATTCTTAACCCGTTTCACCCCATATTCTATTCACATTCTTCAGTTCATTGCTCAACATATATTGGTAATACATATTTATGTGCCACAGAATATTCTCATCAATGTATAGACAATGTGTCTGTTATGTGACATTCAAACGAGTTTTTCTATTAACGAAAGTCCGATTCGGATGAAGAGGAAGAAGCGGAGGCTTTCGCACAATTGGCTTAAATACACGACTCCTTCAAATCAATTCATTTTTAAATGAATTTCTTTTTTTAAACTTAGTTTTCATACAATTTATATATTTTTTATTTGCTTTTATTAAGACAAATTTGAGAATAAAATTACATTTTAAACGATAAAATGCGGACCCATTGCCTATAGGAGCCGCTCATACACTCACTCACACACTCTTTTACATGCCTTTCCATCAGATCAGCACCAAATCGACTAAATTAGCCTTCGGTTGAGTCATGTCTTCGGGAAAGTACTCGACGATTGTGTCGAACACTTTCGTACGGCTCCTGTAGTTGGGGTCGTCCGGGGGATCCGTTTCCATCGACACGGGGTTAGGGCTGTCGGTGTCTTCCTCGCACTGGAACATCAGTGCCGCCAACGACTGGAACTGGAGGTCAGAGACAGACATCAATGCGTTATGAGTAATAAAAAGCAGTAAAACTTAGGTATTTGTGAACCAATACTAACCGCACGGCTCTCGTCGGGCACCGAGTGGTCGAAAGTCTGCGACAACTGGTTCTGGAGGTATTGGATGGCCCTCTGGGGCGCCCTCTGAATGATCTCGCGGTACGACTGCTCTCTGACCAGACGGCGACACTTACGCAACAACTCCTCACTGGACAGCCGTTTCAGCTATAAATGAGAGCCAAAAACAACTTTAAATTCACTCAAAACTATTAGACATCCCTTTCCCACTCGCGGGAAACGAGAGCACCGGTACCTCCAGTGTCCAGAAGTCGTCGAGCCTGAGCTTCGGGCTCTGATTACGTCCGGGATTACCACCAAACAGATAGTGACACTTATGGATGTGATCGTAGACTAATTGGTGGGCAAACCGGGGACACGGCTGACAGGGCTCACCACAGGCCGTGTCGCCCGCGTCCACGACCGCTGAGGCGGCTGTCGAGGCGGTAGGAGTAGTCTCGGTGTCGGTGCCAATCGTATTGTTATTATTGGTGGCATCGGAGTCGGTGTCCAGTGAGCTGTGGTTGCGGTAAATACATGACCACCGGTTGTCCGGTATGTCGTACACCCAAAACGAGTTCTTCACCGTCTCCTCATCGCCGGCAGAGGCGCCTACCGTTCCCTTATCCCTGTCCGCCCGGTCCGCGTCCTTATCCCTCTCCTTATCCTTGTCTTTGTCCCGATTTAAGCCCTGTTTTCCATAAATAATCACAAATTTAATAACAATTAAAACCAAACACTAGTCGACAGACAACACACATACCGACAGCACGTGTATCTCATTGGTCTCGGGATCAATGGTAGCCCTCTGTGTGAACCCTGCGGAGGGTACCTCCGACTTGTGTCCATCATTGATGACCACTATCTCATCCGTGTCCACGTTGTACGTGAAGAAGTCACTCAAGTACTCCTTCTGTCGCTGACCCGCGAATACGTACAACAGTCGCGACTTCTGGTGGAAAAGCATCGAATGGCCAATCCGTGACTTTATCTCTTTACTGCCGGCGCTCTGGGGAACGCCTACCGCCGGACAATCGTCCCGAAGCTTACGCCATTTACCGCTATTCCCTTCGTATATATACAGACCACTAAACACCGGCAGTTCCGGACAGTTGGCCGCGCGTTCATCTGACAGACTGTAAGGGAACGGTATGTTTAGACAGTGAATAAAGCAATAAAAGAGTTCAATACAAACCATGAGAGCACTCGACCCCCGAACACATAAATAGTATTTTTCTCCAAATCTATACACATCTGGTGGTCGAACACCAACGCCGGTCCGCCAACAGCGCCGGTATCATCGCATACCAGTGACCATCGATTCGATTGTATGTCGTATACATAGAAATCACTCTAAGTTTTCAATGGACAGGCATTTAATTCATTAATACATCGTTTATACGGTAAAACACAAACTATTTTCCATACCTTTAAGTTATCTACAGATCGGATACTGGAGTCGAGATACCGGCCCAACGTGTATATCCTTTTGCGGATCGGATCCAAACACATCTTATGACAGGAACGGGCTGTGGGTCCGCCTTCCAGTCCGGTATTCACCGAAATACAAGTCCACTCGCGCTCAGTAATACTATAGGACCACAAATCGGCCAAATCTTGACTCCCATCCCAACCGCCGAACAGATAAATCACTTGTCCGTACGGGTCTATACACATTTGATGGCCGCCCCGCATACCTGGTTGCCTACCGGGCCTCCCACTAGGGCCTGGCGCCGGCATTAACTGCTTCCATATGGGCCGGTAGTCCTGTCGCCTGATATACGTGTCGAATAGTCGGCGATCGCACGCCTCCTCCAGTAGGCGCTCGCACGGGTCGAACGCCCCTTCAATGACCAGCAGCTCATGGAGTCTCGTGAGCAGCCGGTCCTCCAACTGAATCCTCGTCCGCTTCTGCAACGACTCGAACGCTTCCGAACAGTTCTTTTGGCGCAAATGCTTCAGACAGAGCCGTATGGCCTCCCGTTGCCTGTACTCTGTCAGCCATTGTAGGCAATCCTTGACTAGTGTGCAGTCGTCGATACCCCGGAGCTCCACATACCTGTGCCGCGCATACAGACAATTAAATAATTCCTAATATTTGACTCCTTGTCCACATGCCTGACCACAACAGACATACCATAGCGTGAAGTTATAGTGAGTGCCGTTCCGATTGCGACCCTCTTTTGTAGGCCAACTCCAGCCCTGAAGGGGTTGTATCTTAACGTAACGACAGGG